ACCCACACCCCCACCCCCGCCCACACCCACCCACACCCACACCCACACCCACACCCGCATTGCCACATCCAGACCTACACACGTACACCCATCCCCATACCCACAGCCAAATCTTTTACCGCCCTCTCTCCGTGACACGCGAAATTTATTTGAAGCAAAGAGCGTTTTCAGATATAAAATTATGAGAGAAAACGCGCAGCCGTTCTTGATTAATTATTCCTTCGATTTGAGCTTCTGACTAAATTTGGTTCTACTTGTTTCCGACCTAACGATATCGTCTAGTTCCGTTCAGGTCATTAAACGGGTTGTATAGATTCGCCCGTTGTGGCAAATCACGTCTTTGGCTTGGCATTGTTTGTTGAGTTTGTGGTGATCTCACAGATGATACCTGTCTATAATGATCTTGCCGGGCCTATTGTTTAGAAATAGACATAGTTTAGTTAAAAGCGGGTTTTACTCGTATCGATTTACCGTCATGTCTCCTCTAAATTGAGAACTTCTATTGTCACCAAAATTATTTTCCATTGAGAGTTGACCTTAAGAAAGTGAAAGTGATGGTCATGCTTTTCTATGGTCACTTACGATTCGCATAAACGGCTTCTTGGTGATCGGAACATACCACATGTGTGGTTTTGGAGGGAGAAGTTGCTTGAGCCGCCGATGTATCTAAATCTTCATCGTTCCGCTTATAGTTTGTTCTTATTTCTGAGGGTGTATTTTTCGATTTGAAGTCAACGCCATGGTTGATTGATGGATTTGCATTGAGACTATTTTCTAGATCAGTAGTGCCTTCAGGAAGAAAGTTCATTCCTAAACAATTTTATCTATAAACAGCGGAGTGTTACCTGAACTATCCAAGGAATCTTCATGGTCATACATAGGCGAAGTAGCACGATGATCTTGTGCAGATGAAATCGAGCAGTGTAGGCGCAGTGACTCACCAGGCAATAAACTCGCTTTTAAATCTTCTTCATCGTGTTTTTGGAAGAGTTGTAACAAGCATTGGTTAAGGTTGTCATTATCGGATGCCAAAATATTTCTTTGATCTTCATCACCACAACTATCTTCAGGTGGATCGTGCTCAGAACGGGACATTGTTGACGGATTGAGGCACCCATCTTCCTTCTTCCTCCTCTCCTTTTCTCGTGTATCTCTATTTTTTTTAATATCTTGAACCTTATGAAGGCGTATTCCATTGCTTTCGCTACTCATTTGGGACGAAGACTTCTTCTCTTCATAAAGTAATGTGATGTGCGCAAGACAATCAGTAAAGTCATCGATTTTTACTGCATACTGTCGCATCTTATTTTGAATTCGAGGCACATTGGAATCAGTCATCTTCAGAATCTGACTCGTCTTCATGTTTTTGATGCATGCCAGTAAGGAGTCGTACGCATTATGATCTTCGTTTTCATTGAAATTTTGCAACTTGATGATTACATTTGCGTTGAAACTCGCTCGAATGTCTTGAACAAGTAGCATTTTATTGCTCAAATATAATTCTTCGACTGAATTTCTCACATCGGAGTAGTGGTTACCCGTTAATCTGTCGGCTGGATTATTCGGAAAGACACCCGATCCAAAAGCGAGGCCGAGTATTGCGTCTATAGGAATGTTTTTCGACGATGTTTCGAAGTTGCTGTTGTTCTTATTGTTTTGACCATTACATGTTTCAATAGATCGCTTTTGATTCGAAGATTGATGGTTGATGTAATTCGGAATTGAGTTAACCATTTTTATAAGTCGAAAAGTGATGTCATAGTGTGCATAAACACTACGCATATTGCGCACATCTCGAATGACACGGATGGCATTTCGAATCATATTACGAGCTGTTGTATGATTGGCTAGGTCAAGAAGTGCTAAAAACTTTCTATGATTTTGGAGGTAAGAGTACTTCTCTGGTTCATGTAACAAATAGTCTGTGATCTTCTCATTAAACGTGTCCAACAAGAATGTGAATACTTGTACCAACCAACAGATACCATGAAGAAATGTCTGGCGAATCAGTGAGCATATTATCTCTCGTGCCGCTTTCTCTGGATTCGCACGGTCATCCATGCCACCGTATAGTGCACCTTGAGCTGTAGCAATCCAATCCGAAGAGATTTTTCCTGGGCAATGTCTCAGAATCATGACACAGAATACTTGCAGGATACGTTCGAGATGTGCGGCTCCTTGAAGTTTGAATTTCAAATTTTCACTAAATCCATCGTGACTTATTTGATATAGTTCATTTGGACTCAGGTAAGCTTTCCAGCTCGTTACTGCAACATGTTGTCGATTCCATGAGAGGAACCCATTCATGACATCCTCGTACGTCGTTCCGTCTTCAATGGGGAAGTGAGTGTCTATTTCTGCTCTGTAGCTAACGTACTTCGAAAGTGTCGAACGGAACTCCGTAACATATTGCGTGTATTTCTCTTTGATAGAATGTGGATCAGATACCGACAACTGCTTGAAAAGCTTGTTATATTTTCGCTTAGCATTATCCAGATGTTGACGTACCACTTTTAACAGTTTTAGCAATGCAGATAAGAATGACTAAAAGTATAATAGCAGCTGTCGCCTTATCATGTTTTTTACACTAAATCCTTTTAAAATTTTGATATTGTGATAGTCGAATATATCTTCAAAACTTCAAAAAGAATCAGAACAAGAGTTTAATGGCCCGAATCTCCTACTTTCAACCTATTTCAGAACCGACCAAACTCGTGCTTTGTCACCCTTAAGAATACTGCGCATATGTTATGACAAATATGTCAGCTATTTGAAGCGTGTTTTTATGAGGAAAGAAGTTCTGCATGTGTGTTTCAATAGTTTTCCGTTGAAACGATGCTTATGAAATGCGATCTTCTGTTTCGTGTATCTTGTCCCAATCAACAGCTGATATAATTCCCAAAACCTTTTCTTGGATGGTCAACAAAAATAGAAGTAGTGGCGGTATTATTCAAAGTGCACATCTAAATGATGCTGCTGTCCTACTCAAATCTAATAGACATTTCTTACTTCAAGCCAAAATCGTTGAATTTGTTCCCGAACAGTTGTAATACCAATCAATAATCGATAGTCGTCTTTGAAACGTTCAAACTTTCCAACAGCACCAGGCGCCGCTTTCTGATTGATAGACCGAATCCATTCATTCACCTTTTCCTTCTCTAATTCGGGTAAGCCTAGTAAGTATTGACGATTACGCGCATATGATTCATCTTTCATAGAGAAGCCGTCAAAGACCATGTTCACGAAGTAGCATCGTTCAAAGTTGGTCAGTTGAGCAGCAATCTCTTGATTTGCTTGTGTACCATTCGTATATTGCTGCATAAAAATGTCGAATTTTGTTTGTATTGTAATCATGTGCTCCTGATAATCCATCCTCGGTGGTTGATTGGAAGCGATAGCTTTTGGCGATGTACATAAATCATGAATTCGACGGGCACCATGACTATTCTCTTTCGACTGATGTGCTTCTTTAAGAAGCACAATAGCAAAACGTGGATTACGAACATATAATTCAACAATACGTTCAACTGCTTTGCGTTGTTTTGCATTCTTCTCACCCTCGACAAGACCTGGTACATCGACAATTTCAAAATCTTGATAGAGTCCACTTTCGATTTCGATCTCTTCGCATTCTGAACTGAAGCCTCCTGTTTCCGCATGCTCCTTTTCAATACTTGCCATCAAGTTTTTGAGATGCTCGCTCAATTGTTCGGGTTTCACGCCACTCGGTTTTTTTACCTGTACTGTACTTGAATCCGGAAGATTTGAGTTGTACGTTAGCCGATAAGAGATAGGGCAACGAGTACCAATATTGTTCGTCGAATAGGCGCAAGGAAACTGAAGAAAATTCTGCACCAGCATAGATTTTCCAACGGATGTTTCACCGACGATGACCACCTGAGGCACTTCAAGTTCTTTTTCCAGTTTGTACTTTTTCGAAATATTTCTTAGTTCTTTATAGGTTTCAAAAGCCATTTTGTCCATAATCATCGAGCCAGACGGTATCGCCATGTTACTTGAATGTTTTGGTGCGAGCCACTTGAATCAGATAACTTTTTAAATCTATAATCACATGGGCATTCTCATTAGTTATTTTATTTTAAGGGTGTGGGTCTCGCTGTCGCTGTAGTCATTTGCCATACATTTCAAGGCACACCAACATCCACCCTCAATCAAAGCGATCACTGGAAATCATCAGAAACTAGTTTATATTATTTACATCGAGGAACAAACTGATTTCTTGATTTTTAAGGGTGTGGCTGTGGCTGTGGCTAAGAAGAAGTAGAGGGTTGGACAATGAATTCATCGGTGACAATAATGCTCTCTTCTAAAGGAAAAATGGTGGCGAAGTCAAAAATGGCTAGCTCTCAGCTATACAGAATTCACGTGATACTACACAAGAAGTGTTCGCATAAATATCACACATAACGACACTGCCCCAACGAATAATCCAATCCTCTGCAGACAAAATGATCCTAGAAAAATGGAAAACAACGTGTATAGCAGAAAAATCCTTTGCTGCATAAGTCTATACATGAGCCGTGAAAGATGTTTCATTTGCAATGAGAATAATGAAATAGCACGGGAATAATGTATGTCAGCATGGGAAAAATGATCCTAGAAAAATGGAAAACAATGTATGTAGAAGAGAAATGCTTTGCCATATAACTGTATGCATGAGGCTTTAATGATGTTTTTCTGTATTTCTTTTTAATGTAATGGTAGCTAGGCCGTGAGTGAAGATTTGTAAGTGACTTTGATTTAGAAAAATTGTTGATAAATGTGTATTAATTCAGTTGTTTGTGGGACAGTGGAATCTCTTGATTAAGGTAGATCAAGATCATATATCCAGATAATAGTGTGTGTTCTGGTGGGAGCCGAAAATTGAATATCAATCGGTTGGATTTTGATTTCTAGAGACTAATTTGTTTGGAATTGTGATTTTTGGATCATTTGTATCAGATAAATGTTTTGTATTAAGTATATGATGAGGTATTGTCATATAATGGGGAATTTGATTTTGTGGCAAATTCAGTTTGTTTAGAGACAAAATGAATTTGTGGACAAATGCTTACCTACAGTTTTAAAGGTGATGAATGAGGGGGAGAGCAAGCAAGTGTGGATGAGAGGAGCGGCACGGAAGTGCGACCGAGTTCGCTCTCTTGAACTTTCTTCTCTTTTGTCTCTGGCCTTTTCATCTCTGTCCTCTCGCCTCTCTCCCCTCTTCCTTCTCCATATCTCGTCTCTGCACCTCTCCTCTCTTCATGTCTGTTGGTTGTTCTCTCTCTATCGTCTATCCCTCCTCGCTCCCCGTCTCTCTTTTCTCTCTCTCTTCCTCTCGCTCATCTCTCCTCTCTTCTCTTCTCTTTCATACCTCCTCTCTCCATCCATTCCAACTGGCTCTCTTCTCTTCTCCTCTCGCTCATCTCTCCTCTCTCCACCCCCTCACCACGAACGACGGACGCTGACTGCCGTCTCTCTGAGTGGAAGATATGTGACATCTCTATACCTCTTATACCGGTATCGATTTAGCGGTAGGAGCAATTTGAATTTGCGACAAATTCAAATTCCCCATGAAGTCGGTATTGTAGGAGGATAATAATATATTTGTTTTTGTGTAACGTGAAGAGGAAAACGAATGAGAATAATCTTAGTTTGAATATGAAAAAACTTTTATAAAATTTGGGATAATGTAAATATTTTTAGAGTTTATGTTTGGTGAGAGAAATGAACAAGCAGTGAGTGTTTGAAAAATGTTCTATATATGGTATGGATGTGGAGGTAAAAATATAGAGTTAGTGATGTTTCTTGTTGGCTGAATAATTTTTAGTGTGTAAGATTTTACACATATGTGACAGCTTACATGAGAATTCAGTGAAGATCAGAATATGCGGAAAAAGTTCTTTTTTCGAAATTCTTTCTTTTCTATTGAGGAACGATTTTTGTTGACTTTGCTTATGATAAATTAATGAAATCTAACGCAACAACATTTTTCTATCGAAGAAAAAGAACTGTCGAATGTTTCGAATGTCCCAAGCAGTGGAAAAATAGTAGAGAGAAAAGAAAGTTCTCGAATAGAAAAATTTTATCTGTCCGAAGAATATAAAGAAAATTATTATTTTAAAGAAGAAAAAAGAATTATTGCATGTCGCAAGTGTCCAAAGCAGTTGAAAAATGATAGAAATAAAAATATATGTCTTTAGCGACATATTTCATCTATCAGAAAAATATATAAAGAATATTAATTTTGTAACAAAAAGAAAGAATTATTCAATGTCGCAATGTTCGGTTAACTTGAAGAATAGTAGAAGAAAAATTCTATTTTCAAATGTCAAAAAAGCTATTTCAGTCTCAATTGAATTTTAAACTCACTTGTCACATATTCATTGACGTCTTTTGTGAAAAGTGACGATAAAAAGGTTCGATATAGACATACTATACGCAGTTAGGCTTGTGTGTTTATTATTGGTCGTTCTTTATAAACAGAAAGAAAAGAGGATTCATTTTTTGACTTTGATGGCATTTTTCCGCTTGAAATGAGCATTTATCCGACCGATCGATTTGTTGCCCACTGCTGAAAAATACTAGATCGTCGCAGAGGTATAGTTTGAACGGTCATCAAAGCCGTAATAAAAATTGAACTTTCACAGATATAATAGGTACCTGATACACTATAGCGACTTCGATGATTGAATCTTCACTTTTCTTCCTCATAAAGGCCTCCGAATAGAGAAGAACTGAGAGTCGAGTGAATGTTACTGATTCAAATAATAAAGTGAATTTCGAAGCCAGAGGATAATGACAATTATCATTCCTGTATGATGTGCAACAGTTGAAAATCTGAGTATCGATAGTCAAAATATGAATTATTGAGGATGTCAATGTCAGAATTCATCAATTTCTTGCACATGCATAGCTTATATCTCGCAGTAATAACTAATCCATGAAACATCGAATATGTAAATTTTCAAGAATTAAATAGCTGAATATCTGAAATTACCTTCAATAATTAAATTCAACTTTCAGGTTCGATACTACTGATAAATGTAACAGAAGCGAATCACAAACATCAAACTTACAAACTAATTTTATGTTATTCTTTGCTTGAAATGCTGGTTAAATACCGCTTTGATCTACATCGAGAAAAGGAAACTAATTTATTCTATTTCTGTCCTAAGGCCCATGAACATTGTCGTTCGAATTAATACAGCAAAACAAAGCCAATTTATTCCATTGATTTCAATATGAGATTCAACAATTTTCAGAAGAATTAAATAAAGGAAAATAATGTAAGGTTAAGTTTCTAATCAAGTTTCCATTATGGAATGCGCAAGACTTTGTAGGATACAGAAACAAAGAAAAAGAAGTTAAACTGCATTTTCACATTTTTCGCAGAACAAATCGACAAAATAGGGACCCAATTATTAGAAAAAAAGAGCACGAAGCTAAATTATTCGAGTTTTCTTTTTATAAAAACGCGAGTCCATTTCCAAAATAACTCAATGATGCTAGGCAAACATTAAACAAAACTAGCCTTCGAGTTATTTCTCAGAAAAATGATGAGCAACATTCGAAATAACTAACTGAAAAAAAAGAAAAAGAAAGCATTTTTTCATCCCGCTGCTTCTGTAAAATCTCCAGCAAATATCGGAACAAGTGAGATAAAAAAAGAAGTAAACTAAACCAGCTTTCTCCGTTTCTCTATCAAGTTTTTCTCGGAAAAATTACGAGCAATTCTCGGAATAGCCAACTGAAAAAAGAAAAAGAAAGCATTTTTTTATCCTGTTGCTTCTGTAAAATCTCCAGCAACTATCGGAACAAGTGGAATAAAAAAGAAGTAAAGTAAA